ATAATATATATATATATATATATATATATATATATATGTAATTAATAATAAACAAATATATGTACTGCTTTTCAAAATTTTGGGATCGGTAAGATTTGTAATGTTTTTTAAAGTCTCTTATGTTCATCAAGGCTGCATTTATTTGATCGGAAACACAGAAAATACAGTAAAAATTGTGAAATATTATTATAATTTAAAACAGCTGTTTTCTATGTGAATATCTGTTAAACTGTAATGTATTTCTGTGATGCGCAGCTGTATTTTCAGCATCATTCCTCCAGTCTTCAGTGTCACATGATCTTCAGAAATCATTCTAATATGCTGATTTATTATCAATGTTAGAAACAGTTTTGCTGCTTAATATTTTTACATTTTTTGGACCCTGTGATACTTTTTTCAGGATTATTTGATGAATAAAGATAATAAGAACAGCTTTTATTTAATATAAAAATCTTTTCTAAAAATATAAGTATTTATTGTCACTTTTTAAAAAATCAATTTAGCACATCCTTGCTGAATAAAAGCATTAATTTCTTTAAAAATAAATATATATATATTGGCCCCAAACTTTTAGAACAGTAGTGTATATAGTCACAAACGATTTCTATTTTGAATAAATGCTGTTCTTTTTAACATTTTATTTAAAAAAAATTATATTTAAAAAAAAAAATATATATATGAGGCAGCAAAACTAATAAATCAGCATATTAGAATGATTTCTGAAGATCATGTGACACTGAAGACTGGAGTAATGATGCTGAAAATACAGCTGCACATCACAGAAATACATTACACTTTAACACTTAGAAAAGCATTATTTTAAATGGCAATAATATTACAGTTTTTGTCTGTATTTCTGATGAAATAAATGCAGCCTTGAGCAGAAGAGACACATTATAAACCGTACGGATCCCAGACGTTATGCATTAGTTATCAGTGAAGTGTGTTGTGTTTCAGCTCTGATCAGCCTGTCGTTTGGTGGCGCGATCGGTCTGATGTTCCTCATGCTGGGCTGCGCTCTGCCCGTCTATAAGTGAGTGTCTCTCTCTCCTGTCTCTCTCTGTGTGTGTGTGCGGAGCGTCTGCTGACGCTGTGTCTGTGTGCAGTGCGTACTGGCCTCTGTTCCTGCTCTTCTTCTACATCCTGGCTCCTATCCCATACTGCATCTCTCGCCGCGTGGTGGACGACACGGACTCGGCCAGCAACGCCTGCAAAGAGCTGGCCATATTCCTGACCACAGGCATTGTGGTGTCCGCCTTCGGGCTGCCCGTCATATTCGCCCGCGCTCACGTGGTAAATATCAACATGACACGCTGTTCAAACATATTAAACATAGTCTCTTTCAGGAGTTTTTGATGAAACATTATGAAGGCTACTAGGGCTGGATATTGATACACATTTTGTGAATCGGTTCTTTATGTGATTTTACATTGATTAGTTTTGATGTATATCATGTTCGTTGCAGGTACACGTCAGTTTTTCTTAAAGGAGTAGTTCAACCAAAAATGAGAATGTGCTCTGCATTCACTTCAGTGAGACACTGATGCAGTGCTACATTCCTCCAAATCTGATGAAGAAACAAACTCATCCTGATCTCAGATGAACTGAGGGTGAGCACATTAATTTTTGGCTGAACTGTTGTCAAAAGCACGTTTATTGTGTGAATCCGGTCGGCGCTGAAACGGACAGAGTTTGATCACCGCGAGAGCAGGATTGATCTCCGTCCGTGTCAGCGTGAATGTGTGGAAGTTTCCAGACGGCTGACTGAGTGCTTGATGTGTGCAGATGGCCTGGGGAGCCTGTGCTCTGGTGCTGGCGGGAAACATCGTGATCTTCGCCACCATCCTGGGCTTCTTCCTGGTGTTCGGATCCAACGATGACTTCAGTTGGCAGCAGTGGTGAAGCAGCGCTCTCCGCTCCGCTCATCTCACTCTGACATTACTGTTTTATTTATAATTGCCGCCCATTGATAGAAGCAGGAATCCAGTGCAATAATTGTGTTAATGTTAGCTGGCTCTGACCTCAGATAGACGCTCTTTCGTGTCCTTTTTCGTTATGAATGCAGGTGGTCGAACAGAAACACTGTTTTTCTGAAGCTTGTCCCAGTTACCACACTGAAGTCTTTGCTTTGCATTTCTCTTTTACTCAAGAGTTTATTTATTTGTTCCCGTTCTCTGTTGATCATCGTATTAAACGTGACATCGTCGACCGAAGCTCGTTATGTTGATTTGATGATTCGGTTTTTATTGCATAGCGATGCGTTTGTTTCCCGCAAACGTTTCTTTTAGAGGAAAAACCCAGAGTAGCCGTTTATAAGCTAACTATGAACATGCAAATGAAACGCAGGTCATGTTTGTTTTAGATGTAGATTTGCTCATATCCATCGTTCATAAAGACAAGATCGTGTGAGTTTCTCTGAATCAGACGCTCAGTGTGTGACGAGAGGTTAAAGTCAACATGAAATCTCTGATGCATCAGCGCACATTATTCAAACAATAAATCAGTAAATATAAAGTTGGCCTTATAATCTTTATTTATTCATGTAGAGAAACTTTTCATCATCCAATCAATAATTCCTGATGGATAAAATCAAGTCTTATCCTACACTTGTTTGCTCTGTTACACGTTTCTATGGAAACCTATTTCCATCACAGAATCAAAAAATTGTTACTTTTTATCTTACGATTCTGACTTTTCCTGAGATATGAACTCAGAATTGCAAGAAAAAAGTCAGAATTCTGTGTTTGTATCTCACAACTGTTCTCTGAGTTTTGAGTTTGCGTCTCGCAATTGTTTTTTTGGCAAAAAAAAAAAAAAAAAAAAAAAAAAAATGTATTTTTGGCTTTTCTTTTTTTATATATATATATATATATTTGCTCAGAATTGAGAGACGAACCCACAATTCTCAGAAGAAAAGTCTGAATCATGAAATGTAAACTCATAATTATGAGGAAAAAAGTCAGAATTGTGAGATTAAACTCGCAATTACAATTTTTATTTTTTATTCAATGTTGAAAACTAAAAAAGAAAAAAAAATTGCGAGATGCAAACTCATCAAAGAATTGTGTGAGAAAAGTCAGAATTCTGTGTTTTTATCTTGCAATTCTGACTCTGTTTTTTTATTCTGTGGCACAAATGCGCTTCCATTCAATGCATTGGTAGAAAGTGCTGTTTCATATTGACTTTAAAGCTTTGAAGAGACGTTCTGTTATTTTATATCTCACTCTTTGTGCAGAAACGGCGCAGGTAACATCGTGACATTTTCCTCTCTTCTTGTTAATTTTTTAAATAAATGCCATTTTTGAAACAAATAAAAAAAATATAATTGTATGTTTGTTGTCATTGCAGATGATGTACAGTGAAAAAAAATGGTTTAGAATTTTTTCCACTCACAAACCATTACATAGAAATGTTAGAAATTGTGACAAAACTGAAATAGTATTTTCTTGTAAAACATGCTCCAGTAATCTTGTATATGACCTCTGACTGTTGACTGTTCCTGTTCAGATTCTGCTGATGTTACTGACTCCATCCCAGAAGAGAAGCTAGTCTTTAATAATCATCCAGTAATGAAACGTAAAGTGAGGCCTCGGGCAGGTGTTCTGCGCTCAGTGGAATGAAGGAGATTCGCTGAAACACGCCGGCGTCACTGAAACACACACATTCCATGAATAATTCAGATCTGCATGAATCTCATAAAACACGTTTGGGACACAAACCAAAAATAACAAGCTGTAGGTCAAAAAATATATTATGCATGAAGAAAATAAAGGCGTTTTTAATTTATTTGCATACCAATTTCACCCCAAATTCTTATTACTGTATCTGAATGCTTATTAATTCTCATTATTCTCAATGCTGATTAATTAGATTCTTATCAACTTAGTACAATGTTGTTGTTTTTAAATTAAATCAGCATTAAGCAAACAGATTCTGCATCATGTAAAATTCTCAAAATAATATATTAATATGTTCTTAAATCATGATAATGATTATTTGGTGGTTAAATGTGTTTAAAGCAATGCACAGGGGGGAAAAAAAGCAGAAATTTGTTAACACGAACTAACATAAAAATACATTTATTAATTTCGGTAAATTAAAATCAAAAGCTGCATCTGTTTAAATTATTAATGCATCATGAACTAACAATGAACAGTATTTTTATTAACTAACATTAACGAAGATGAATAAATACAGTTACAAATGCACTGTGTATTGTGAGTTAGTTCATGCATTAGTTAACTGTAATGTCCTCAAATGGTTTCTGTGATGCACAGTGAAACATGAGCGGGAGGTTGGTGTGTGTTTGAGTATTTGGGCCCCGGAGCGAGAGCCGACCTTCATCGTGTTTGTAGAGCAGCTCTGAACGACTGAGAGACCAGATCAGAGGTTATGAGGAGATTTTTCAGAGTTGACAGAGATGAATATTACGGTCAGATTCAGTATCTCACGGCTAAATGCATCCGACTGTCTCAGGAGAAAGGTAAGCGTGCAAGTCACAGTCTCATTTTTAGTTAGGCACAAACCAGTGAGGACTAGACCTCAGAAAATAAAATCAGAAAATGCTGAAAACAAGCACATGTTCCTTTTAGTTTCAATGTGTTCAGTGCTGCAATCCTGTCATTTATTTGACTCTTGACATGATCACATAAAATAGCATTTATTTGATCTCACTGCAAGAAATATGATTATTTGACACGCAGCTGATGTGTATAAAACATGCTGTTCATGTGCACATTTGTTAATGACCCCAATCCTTTTTAGTTTTAATCGCAGCAGTCCTGCAGTTCAGACATTGTAGATGGGCTAGAGTTAGGTGTCACAAACATCAAAAGATTATAATGTTATTTTAAAGCAGTGCAAATTGTATATTATAAGTGTTTGTTCGTAAACAGAAAGTAATATTGTATTCAAATAATATTGTTTGACTTTATTTTGCACTACTGATATGTTTTGTTAATATTACTTATTTAAGTTTATTTTGCATGACTATTTTTCATTCTGTGCAGCTGTGCTTCAAATGCATTAAGTTTTTGTTGTGCACACAACAATAGTTCATGTTAGCTGGTGATTACAGCTGCTCAGTGAAGCCCTGCAGCCAGACTGTTTGTCACCAATCTGCTGCCTTTCAGATCATCACTTCTGTCTGTCTGTGTCTGTGTCTGTGTGTGTGTGTGTGTGTGTGTGTGTGTAGCGGTGCTCCAGCGAGAGCTGCTGGTGTCTGGTGAGCGTCAGGAGGTTCTGCAGGCAGAGATGGAGGGTCTGTCGGTGCGTGTGTGTCAGAAGGAGCAGCTCTATGTGGAGCTGAGCATCAAATATGAACAACTTCTGGAGCGATTTCAGAAACAGCAGGTACAGCCGAAGCAGAACTTTACCATGAAAAATATGGCAGCAGCATTTTAGGATCTACTCAACTGAACTTCAGAGAGATATAGTTCAGCCAAAAATGAAAATCAGCTGAAAATGTGCTCACTCTCAGTTCATCCTAGATTAGGATGAGTTTGTTTCTTCATCAGATCTCGAGAAATGTAGCATTGCATCAGTGTCTCAGAGTGAAAAAGTGCATCTGCTGTTGTCTCTCACATCAAAATCCAGCCACGTATGTGTTTAGATCTGTTTAAACGCTGCTTGATCTGTGCAGATTTCTCTCCTGATTCACACCAGAACACTTTTTCACTGGAGGAAGAGTTATTATGGATTATGGACTCATATTTTAGTTAAAAGCATCTTAATGCTGGATTTGTTCCAGCTTTTGTCTTCTCCAGATGTTAACTGATGGACTGGAGTGCTGTGGATTACTTGTGGATTATTGTGATGTTTTTATCAGCTGTTTGGACTCTCATTCTGACGGCACCCATTCACTGCAGAGCATCCATTGCTGAGACACTGATGCAATGCTGCATTTCTACAAACCTGATGAAGAAACAAACTCATCCTGATCTGGGATGACCTGAGGATGAGTAGATTTCCCGCACATTTACATTTAAACTACTGTATGGAAGGCTTATTGCTGCACTATTGCACATAGTTGAATAATATCATAAAGCGTATGCAGTATACAGTATACACTGTGCGTTGTGCTGGAATCCCGTTTGTTTGTGTGTGTGCGTGTCAGGAACAGGCCGATCTCCTGCAGCAGCATTTAATCTCTGTGACGGAGGAGCGCTGGAGGGACGCCTCACTGCTGTCTCTTCAGCTGGAGCAGGTGAGCTGTGATTTACAGCAGCTGCAGGGCTCAGAAAAGCAGCTCATGGGTCTGGTGGACGAGCTGCACCAGGAGGCCCAGCTCAGAGCCCAGCAGGCTGAGGTCCTGGAGACGCAGCTCCGCGAGGAGACTCAGAAAATAAAAGACCTAGAGATGCAGCTAAACAGGTGGCAAATCAGAGGGTACACACACACACACACACCACACACACTCACACACAC